ATCGGAAAGGGTGGGATTTATGGGGGCAGGAGTTTTAGGCAACCACAGGCTTGGGGTCCTGGAAGGCAGTCCTAGAACCAGAGGACCTAAGGCGGGGCTTGGCTGATGGGTGGGGTCGGCTAGAGTCGCGCTGGTAGTGACAGTGGCCGGCTTTCCCCATAGCTGCACACGTACCTGGTCCTGGAGCTGCTGCGGGGCGGGGAGCTGCTGGAGCATATCCGCAAGAAGCGGCACTTCAGTGAGTCGGAGGCGAGTCAGATCCTGCGCAGCCTGGTTTCCGCCGTGAGCTTTATGCACGAGGAGGCAGGCGTGGTGCACCGCGACCTCAAGCCAGAGGTGGGCGTGTGGCCTTGGTGGGCAGGGCTGGGGCACGGGGGCCTGCCTGTGACCACTGCCCTGCCGCTCTGGCAGAATATCCTGTACGCCGACGACGCACCTGGGGCTCCGGTGAAGATCATCGACTTCGGGTTCGCGCGGCTGCGGCCGCAGAGTCCGGCGGAGCCCATGCAGACCCCTTGTTTCACGCTGCAGTACGCTGCGCCCGAGCTGCTGGCGCAGCAGGGCTACGACGAGTCCTGCGACCTCTGGAGCCTGGGCGTCATTCTGGTATGAGAGCAGTCCCCGAGGAGGGTTCAGGGTCGTCCGAGCCTGGGAAGTGGCTGAGGCAGGGGACAGGGATCGCCCTGGTAGGAGTGGCCGAGGTTTCATCCGAGGCTGGGATCAGGGTTCGTCCCACTACAAAGGCAGGATCGCCCTGGTGCTGGGGTCGGGGTGTCCGTGTGTTAAGGGCTAAGAAGTCAGGGTTCATCATGCGGGTCTCAGGTGTTGCCCTAGTGGAGAGGGTGAACGGTTCTGTGGGTGGGCTGAGGGGCAGCCCCATAGCCTGGGCCGGTCTCACTTTTCCCCCCACCCCCACTAGTACATGATGCTGTCGGGGCAGGTCCCCTTCCAGGGGGCCTCAGGTCAGGGCGGGCAGAGCCAGGCGGCCGAGATCATGTGCAAGATCCGCGAGGGGCGCTTCTCCCTTGACGGGGAGGCCTGGCAGGGCGTGTCCGAGGAAGCCAAGGAGCTGGTCCGAGGTGCGGAGTTGGAGGTCACAGATCGTGGTCGGGGAGGGGGAACTCTGTGGTTGCACTGGGGGCAGGGATGGTTACTGGGGCAGTGTCCTGGTTGGGGGATGGGTAAGGGAAGACCGCGGGGTTGTTAGGCTCGCCCCTTCTCACTACTTCCCTGCTCCGCCCCCAGGGCTCCTGACTGTGGACCCCACCAAGCGGCTGAAGCTGGAGGGGCTGCGGGGCAGCTCGTGGCTGCAGGATGGCAGCGCGCGCTCCTCGCCCCCGCTCCGGACGCCTGATGTGCTGGAGTCCTCCGGACCCGCAGTGCGCTCTGGGCTCAATGCCACCTTCATGGTAAGAGGCGGGGCCTCTGGGATGCCAGGGCGGAAGGAGCCTGGAGAGTGGGTGTCGGGGAGGCGGCATGGTCGGCGTGATCGGACCCAGAAAGGTTAGGTGAGCCGAGTCTGCCTGACTTGTCTGGAAGCTGGAGGCCCAAGAGAATTTTTGGCCTTGATTTAGTGGGATGGGGGGAGGGCCCAGGACGGGGGGTCAAAACTAGGATCTGGAAGTTGGGGCCTGGGTCAGGAGGCTGGAGAAACAACCCATTTTCTCTTTTTTGCCAGGCCTTCAACCGAGGCAAACGCGAGGGCTTCTTCCTAAAGAGTGTGGAAAACGCGCCCCTGGCCAAGCGTAGGAAGCAAAAGCTGAGAAGTGCTGCCACCTCCTGTCGTGGCTCCCCGGCGGCGGCTGCTGCGAAGGGGGCCTCCCGCCGAGCCAACGGCCCCCTGCCCCCCTCCTAGCTCCTGCCACTGTGACACCCCTCTTTCCACGGAGGCTGTGACCTGGGATCCTGGCTCACTGCCCCAGGCTTCTGCGGTGGCTCCGCCTTGATCCCCAGGGACTGTTCTTCCGCCTCCTCCCCCCATCCTAGCCCCTGCCCAGCACAGAGCAGAAGTATTTTTATAAGCAGAGAATTTTTTTTATGTCTTACCAGATAGAGTTAGAAATGCAGGGAAGGAGGGGGCCTGCTGGGGAGTAGGGTGTGGGGGACCCTCTCCTAAGACCCTGCCTCATCTGGGCAGAAGGCTCCTCCCAGGGGGTTGCTCCAACAGGAAGGGGCTCCTCCCCACTTCTAAGCACTGAGTTGCCACGTGGGATCCCTTGGCTGTTCTCCCTTGAGGCCTGGCTCCTGGGGGGAGGGAGTGCCCCTCAAGCTGTCACTTTATGGACTGTCTGTGCAATTGTGTCCACCAAAGACCTGTGTTGGGGAGGTTGAGGGAGGGACCCTAAGGGATCCTCTGAAGTATTTCTGCCTCACTTTATGTCACCTGCTTCTCCCCTACTGGGGCTAAGGAATGAGGTAGGTGACTCCCTAAAAGGGGAGGCCCCCTTTCACTCACCCCCTTCCCTTTGGCACAGCCGCTCCTGGCTGGGAGTGGGGCCTTAGGGGTCTAGGCTGGGCGTCCACCGTCACTGCCTCAGCCTGCTCAGGCTGTGCCTTTGAATTTAAAAATAAAAGTCCACCCGGTGCTGCGTGTGGCATCTGTGTGTGCAGTGTTGGGGCCTGGGCATGTCTCTGGTGGAGGGACAGAAAGACTGCTAGCCAATTGGATCTCAGACCTTAGATGGGAGGGACAGGCAGACCCTTCTAGAATAAGTTACTTTTTTTTTTTTTTTGGCCAGCGGGTGTGTGAGCTTGGTTATGCCACAGTCCCTTCGGGGCTTTATGCCCAGTGTGATTTTCAGACGGCTGGGGCTGTTATTTGTAGCCGTGTGGTATCCGACTCTGTTAGCCAGGAGACTGTGAGGTCGGCCCAGAAGGTACCCTGTCCTTGGTGTTTGACATGAGCGGAAGGGCTAACTTCCACCGGGGGTGTGTATCTGGCCAGATCTGCCACCCATTATGTGGGGTTTGCTGAGTTGTAAATGACAGAATACTCAACCTAAGCTTGCTTAAGTATGACAGGAGTTTTTAGGCCTTTTAATTAAAAAAAAAAATTATTCATGATAAAGTCCAAGCACATGACAGAGAGAAGGGGATGAGCACCCTTTACATAAGTGGTCCCCAATCTTTTGGGTGCTAGGGACCAGTTTCATGGAAGATAGTTTCCCCACCGTGGAGGTGGGGTGGGTATGGATTTGGGATGATTCAAGCTTATTACACTTACCGTACACTTTATTTCTGTTATTATTATATTGGAATATATAATGAAATAATTATATGACGCACCGTAATGTGTTCTGGGAGCTCTGCACTTGTTTTCCCTCAGCTAGACGGTCCCATCTGGGGCTCCTGTGAGAATCTGATGTCACTGCTGAGCCAACAGAAGGTGGAGCTCAGGCGTGATACAGCCATGGGGAGCTTGGCTCGCACAGCTCCTGCTGTGTGGCTCAGTCTCCAATAGGCCACTGACTGATCTGGTCTGTGGTCTAGGGATTGGGGGGGGACCCCTGCCTCACCAGGTCTGGTCATACCATGATCTCATTCCTCCTGCCCTCTGGCCTGTTGGATCCTGGGAATTACTGCTTGTGCCCGGGGTGTTTGCAGGCTGACTGGCCAGGACTCGAACTGCAGCTGCCATGTGGGATCAGGCTTCTCTTGAGCAGCACGTTGCCGTTGTGCCACCAGTTGGCCCTTTGGCAGGCTCCTGTGACTATGTAGTAGCTTCAGGCAAGGTCTGATCAGGACTCGAACTCATGATTAGGAAGACTAGCTTCCCACTTTCAGCTTTTTATTCTGTTTTCTTGGTGGTATTCCAGTCAGGAGGACTCTCCTTATGGGCCCAAGTTGGGTGGCAGGTGCTTGAGAGGCTACAGGTGGAAATCTGATGACAAGAGTCTTTGTTGAGGGGTCAGCATTTGGTATGGTGGTTAAGGCACTGTACTCCCCCATGACTGACTGCAGTTAGAGTGCTGGACCTGATGGCTTGGGGATCATGCTGGGTGCTTGTGTGTGTGTGTGTGTGTGTGTGTGTGTGTGTGCCCCAAATCCCAGGAGGATAATGGAGGGATTGCAGTGTGGCCATCCCCCACTGGGTAGTGATTTCTCACCTTCCCTCTGCCTCTGTCTCTTTCTCTCTCTTCAATGAGTGCACACGCCCTATGGCAAAAAATCTTTAAAAAAAAGTTTTTGTTCAGCGTTCCCCAGGGAAGTCCTGAGATGACCTCTGATTGACTCCACTTAGGTCACATGGCCACCCTGAACCAATCACTGTGACCAAAGATGCAATTTGCTGATTGACTTAGCTCTGGATTTTGGACTCTCCCTTGGCAAGTTCATTTGGTGGAGAGTAGAAGAGGTGGGGCCTAGGAGGCCAGCTGGACCTGGCGTGTCAATGGGGGAGAGTGAGGGGAGCAGCCCTTGATCATCGTGGCTCTCCCTGTCTGATCGCTGCTGGGTGGTGGCCCTGGGCAGCTGTGACCTGAGCATCTTTGCTGGCACCCCAAGGCATGGCCTTCTGTCCATGTAGTGAGGCTGTCCTGACAGCCCCTACCCCGGAGCCTGCTCGGACATTCCATGCTGCTTCTTTCTATGGCTTCCCCATGGAACCATCTCATGACTTCTTCCCCTCCTGTCCGGGGGCCTGCCTCCTACAGAGGTACCTGAGGCCTGGAGATCTGAGCCCGGGGTCCAGAAGAGCTGAAGTGGACAGGGGCTGCTGGCTTGGTGGGCAGGTGGGGCCCCATGAGAAGGGATCAGGGCAGTTGGGTGGATGGGGTGCCCAAGGAGGACAAAGCCCCCAGGAGGCATGGATAGGGGAAAGCACCCCTACTTCTGACCTCTGTGTTACAGGGTGGCTTGAGTAAGTTACCTGCCGGCCTAAGGCTTCCTCCTTTGTCAGAAGGAGAAGCTAGAGAATGAACAGAGGTAAGAGTGTGATTCGGTCACCAAGCATTTATTGAGATTCCTGAGCTCTCCCAAGGAGAGGGGACATATCTGAGCACTCTATCTGGAAATCTCACGTAAGGATCTGGAAATGTCCCATTTATCATATGCTCACAAGCACCGAGCGCTGCCATTTACAAGTCATTGCTAATTTGATGGGTAAAAAATGGTCTCTCGTCTTCAATTGCTTCACCTCTCACCCCATGTAACGCACAGTCATCTCGTGAGACAGTATCCCTAGCTTTGTTTCATGGATGAAAGAATGGGGACCCAGAGCAAGGAGCCTACTGGGGTGGAAAGTATAGGGGGTAGGGGCATGAACCAGCCTCACTGTGACCTCTGTGTCACAGTGTGGTAGCTGCTGTTTGACTCTGGGCCAGCTGCTTCTCTAGCATGTTCGCTACAGCTCTAAGCAAGAGTATTCCACAGCCGTGCGCATACTGCACACTGGTCTGTGCGCACACTACCTGTAGGGGCCAGGTAAGTTTCACCTTTTTTTATTTACTTGGAGAGGTTTTTTGCTATAGAGTGCGTGCGCTCGCCAGAAAGACAGAGAGAGACAGACAGAAAGCGAGAAATCATCCCCCAGGGGGTATGGCCACGCCACAATTCCTTCTCCATTCTCCTCTTGGGATCTTGGGCATGCACACACACTCACCCAGCGTGAGTTTAAGCCACCGAGTCCGGGACTCGAACCACGGTTGACTACCTGGGAGTCCAGCGACATAGGTATTATGCCAATTGCTGGTCCCAAGGACCAGATATGTTTTAAAATGAGGAAATCCATAGGAAAATCTGCATGTTTGGCTTAAAAATTTTTAAAATAAAGTTTATTTATGCACTTCTTCAGAGAGAGAAAGGCGCACGGCCAGCAGGGTCCCCACGCCACAATCCACTCCAAGTCTTAACCGGCCTGGATCACAGGCACGCAGGTCTGCCCAGTGTGTGCAGCAGGCCAGTCTGGGCCTGGATGTTTGGTTTATAGAGACATTGAAAGGTTGTAGCCCTGGGGCGGTCTTCCTGCACGGTCTAAGCAGATGGAGCAGAATTGTACTGCCACCATAGACGGGTCTCTGCTTTCCAGTTTGCCACAGTCCCCTCCACGCCCCACTGCTCACACTGGCTCTGTGTGCCTCATTTATTTCCCGGACCTCTCTAGGTGTTTGAGTCTGTGACTCTGATAAAAGCAATCTACTTCCAGGGACCAACAGTTAATGTAATGGCTATGTCGCTGGATTCCCATGTAGTTGACCGTGGTTCCAGTTCTAGACCCGGTGACTTAAAACTCACGCAGGGCGCGTGTGCATGTGAGCCCAAGGTCCTGAGAGGAGAATGGAGGAGAAGGGATTGCGGCGTGACCATCCCCCTTGGGGGGGGATTTCTCACTTTCTGTCTCTCTGTCTCTCTCTGTCTGTCTGGCAAGCGCATGCGCCCTGTGGCAAAAACCTCTCAAAAAAAAAAAAAACCTACTTCTATATTCACTGCCGACAACAACAGGATTTTTGAAATAGTAAAGACACTCCTTAAATCTCTTTTAAATGAATTATATCGGTTTATTTATTTATTTTGCCAGAGGGCGTGTGTGCTTGCTGCGAGTTGGGTGAGGCAATGAGAAAACACTCTTCATGGGGCATGTCATGCACAATCCTTTCCCCTGCATCTCCCTTTCTTTTGGAATCTTGGACATGCCCATGAGCCCAGTGTGCTTTTCCGGCTGCAATGTCCAGGACTTGAACCTCCCAGTGGGCCATGTGGGCTCCAGGTGCCCCAACCACCGTGCCACCAGCTGGTCCCACTTAAACCTTTATTTCATTTGTTTCAAAATTTAAATTTAGTTTCTATTTGTGAGAAGGCAGTACATTTACATGTTTCAAAATTTGAAGGATACCAACAGGTACAGAGAGAAATCTCCTTCCACCTGCTCTGATCCTCAGCCGCCCACATCCTGTTGTCAGAGGCAGCCAATGGCACTAGTTTCCGTGTCATCTTCCAGGCATAATTCATGTATAATAACACTAGCCCAGGCTAGTATGTGTAGTATATACATGTAGTATATTACACGTAGTAGATATGTAGTATATTATATGTAGTATAGATGTAGTATATTATGTGTAGTATACTATATGTAGTATATTATATGTAGTATAGATGTAGTATATTATGTGTAGTATATTACATGTAGTATATTAGATGTAGTATAGATGTAGTATATTATGTGTAGTATACTATATGTAGTATATTATATGTAGTATAGATGTAGTATATTATGTGTTGTATATTATATGTAGTATAGATGTAGTATATTATGTGTAGTATATGTAGCATATTATATACATGTAGTATATGTAGTATAGATGTAGTATATTATGAGTAGTATATTATATGTAGTATATTATATGTAGCATATTATATGTAGTATAGATGTAGTATATTATGTGTAGTATATTATATGTAGCATATTATATATATGTAGTATATTATATGTAGTATAGATGTAGCATATTATGAGTAGTATGTTATATGTAGCATATTATATGTAGCATATTATATGTAGTATAGATGTAGTATATTATGTGTAGTATATTAAGCATATTATATACATGTAGTATATGTAGTATAGATGTAGTATACTATGTGTAGTATATTATATGTAGCATATTATATGTAGCATATTATATGCAGTATAGATGTAGTATACTATGTGTAGTATATTATATGTAGCATATTATATATATGTAGTACATTATATAGACAGGGTCTCTGCTTTCCAGCTTGCCACAGTCCCCTCCATTATATGTAGTATATATCTGCATACATAATACTATACAGATATAATAATCTGAATATAGGATTGAAAAGTTTACATGAATTGAATGTTAATTTTAGGGGGAAAAAGTCAGAAAATGAGAAAGGGGTAAAAAAAGGAAAAATAATCTGGGGCCTTATTTTCCACAGACGATCTGTTAACATTTTGATGCATTTTCTTTCTTTTTTTTTTTTTGAGAGTTTTTTTTTTTGCTATAGGGAGTGTGCGCTCACTAGAAAGACAGAGAGACAGAGAGCTAGAAAGTGAGAAATCACCCACCAGGGGGATGGCCACGCCACAATCCCTTCTCCATTCTCCTCTCGGGATCTTGGGCATGCACACACATGCGCCCGGCGTGAATTTAAACCACTGGGTTCAGGACTTGAACTACAGTCGACTACGTGGGAGTTCAGCTACATGGCCATTATGCAAACTGCTGGTACCTTCATGCATTTTCTTCTAGATATTTTTGTTAATCCAGATTTTAAAAACTTATTTATTTACTTTTATTTATTATTATTATGATTAGTTT